CTCGGCGCCTGTAGCTCAAGCAGCTAAGGTGCCAGCCACATACACTGGAGCTAGAGGGTTCGAATTTAGCATGGGTTGCCAAACAACAATGACAACTATAACCAAAAAATAGCTGAACACTGTGGCAGGTACCTGTAGTCCCAGCTACTTGGGAACCTGAGGCAAGAGGACTGCTTAAGCCCAAGAGTTTGAGGTTGCTGTGAGCAGTGATGCCACGGGAGTCTACCCAGGGGGACAGCTTGAGATTCTGTCTCAAAAAAAAAAACTTGTGGGATCTAACACTGGCTCTGGGAAGAGGGTGTCAGGATTGAATTGTAGGATACCCAGCTGGTATCTGGAGAGTTGGAGAAGGTTTGCTATTCTACTAAATTTAGAGAAGTAAATTTTCAGTTTTCCATGAACTGAAGACTTTTGGCAGGGAGTGATGGCCAGGTAGGTCTGCGGCTTCTGGAGAGCCTGTCGTGCTTATAGGGACACTTCTCATCTCTGGAGCTCTTCACTGACACCAACCCACTCACCCGTATATTTACAATAGTGAAATTGTTCTGTTAAATTTCCATGAGTAAACTGCATGAAAAAATCATGAGCTATTGAATGATTATCTACTTGCATCAAATAATAACCATAATTAAGAAATAATTTACAATATTTAACTTGCATATTCATCCTTCCCATTCTCATCCATGAAATTTATTTTTTCCTGTATGAAACTGTTTCTATATTTATTTTACCCTTTCATCATAGTATGGAGAAAGTAAATGGAATTCAGAGGCGAGCAAAATGCATTAGCACTTTTTCTTATTCCTGGAGGCACTGTGTTTCACACCATTTGTGCCATCTGCACAATATAAGAATGTAACTGTAACATTCCTCTGATTGTTCAAATTTCTATTTTTAAGAGAACTTGCCTCCCAGGATTTTTTTTAACATTGTGCTAAAAGATAAATTTCAGACCCCTGTGACCCTGTGAGAATTCTGCAGCCCTCTTTTCCTGATACATGGATTTACTTCACAAGGCTTTTTAAAAGTATGACTTACAGGCTGGGCGTGGTGGCTCACACCTGTAATCCTAACACTCTATGGACTGCTTAAAACTCAGGAATTCGAGACCAGCCTGAGCAATAGTGACACCTTGTCTCTCCTAAAAATAGAAAGACCAGCTGGGCCTAGTGGCCACCCCAGTAATCTCAGCTTTTTGGGAGTCTGAGGCTAAAGGACTGCTTAAGCTCAGTAGTTTGAGGTCACTGTGAACTATGATGCCATGGTCCTCTATCCAGGGCAACAGAGTAAGCCTCTGTCTCAAAAAAAAAAAAAAAAAGAGTATTACTTATAGAAAACTACATTTTTCTTATTTTAAAGCAAATTCATTATCAAACACATTTCTTGGCCTAAAGAAGGCAAATAAATTATAATAAGGAGCTAGTTGAAACAGTCCCATGGTCTGAATGTTTTGGAAAAGTTTCCGAGCTTAAGGACAAAATAAGCATAAATACTCTGTATGGTTACAAATGGAAACCATGGAGATAATCCATGATAAATAAAAGAGGCATACTCATGTTTATAAAGTCCAAGAATCTAATACTAATCTCTTGTGTGAATGTTAAAATGCACTCCCTCAAAATTTTCCAGATTAGATAAGACTAAAAAGACATGACAGCTCTCAAAAGATAAAATTACAACAAATTAAGTTATAGATCTCATTGGCTTTTATTCCCGATTCATCCAGCAGGGTCCCCTCATTCTAGAAAGCAGAATGAAAGCTCCCACTGCACGATGCCAGAACCGTAAGTTTTGCAAGGTGGGAACCAGGAAACAAAACAAGAGAAAAAAAAAAAGCTGATTGGCCATCATCACATTATCGCAGGTCACTTTTTTGTAATAGTTTCGTCAGAGGGGCCTTGCTTATTTATGCTGACTCAGATGGACTAGATTCCCTTGTTTTTTTTCCTAGTCTGTTTTGGGATCTACCTGCTACCAGTCTGATTACGTGGCATTTAACATGAGTGAGTCTTTTGTTTTGGTTTGGTCTGTTGGCACCCACTGCAGGAGCTCATCCAAAACAATGGTCTCCCATAAATTCTATTTGACACAATTAAATATGACATGTGGGTGCCTTTGCTGTAAAGGACATTAGTGAGCTAATTACTGAAGTGCATACAAGAGCTATAGATTACATTATGCTACCGCTTCCTGTTATCTTCCTTCTTGAATAATTGTACTGTGGCTATCGAAGAGAATGTCCTTGGTTTTAGTAAATATATACTGAAGTCAGTTAGGTTAGCCCTCTGCAAATTAATCTATAAACTAATTCTATTTGGTTTATCTTGGGGGACAGATCAGGTGAGTAGGGAGGGTGTTTCAATAGTTATTTGGCAAAAAAACTCCTTCACAGCCTGTGCTGCATGAGCTGGTGCGTTATCGTGACACAAGAACCACACCTTTGTCATGCCAACATTTTCAGTTAAGTTTTTCCTGTTTCTCTATTGATGTTTACTTGGCTTGCTGTGCTTCTCACAGTCAGTCGATGATTTTGGCATACAATTTGATGAATTTTTGCTATGCTTTCATCAGTTCTGCTCATTACTGTCCGCCCTAACCCCTTTCATCAGGATGCTTTCTCTCCCTTAAGAAAACTGTTTAATCCATTTTAAACACTGCCATTTTCTTTCTATGGTATTATCCCCCATAAACTTGGACTAACATGTCCCTAGTTTTACTTCCACTCTTGCCGGGTTTAACAAGAAATATACAAATGTTTGCCCATTGCTCTAATTCAAGCTCGGACATTCTCAGGATGGCACCCCAAAACACACAACAACAATAAAGAATGTCACTTGGGAAGATACTGCCAAATGTCCACAGGAACACAACTGTGAGATACTGATATACCAGGGTCATAAGACCTTACTGAGTTGTTTGTACAGTGCTGCCAACATGAACAGACAGGCAAGTTCGTGAATGTAATTATCAGATCTCACCTATCATTAATAAAACTTCTTGTTTCCACTAGAGGTAACGATTATATCACCTCCTTACTTGAAAATTGATAATTAAATGAAAAGAAGTTAGCATTTATCTTTTTTTCCTGTAAGAATAAATATAAGTCAATTTTGTACATCAAATGTGTGAAATAAAAACATTAAGATGAATTTTCCACTGATTTAAATTAGGCACGGTTTGGTGAGCACCTGCCAAGTCCTAGTCACTAATTCACTCACATATGGCTCAACTTCCCACTACTGAACCAGGAGACTTTGAGCAATCGACTTCACCTCCTAGTTCCCTGATTTGTAAAATGAGGGCAGGGGTAGTCAGTGCCTCCCCCAGAGGGTTGTTGCAATGAGGATTATGTGAGTCAATACTCTTAGGGATCGTGGGGTGGGCATCTCCTCTTCTGGGTGAAAGAGTAGAAACAGTCTTTCAGCAAGTGCTTCTTGTGTGTCCTCCAGGGCCGGGCACGGGCTGGATGTCCTTCTGAGTTTGTGGTCTAGGATGGCAATACAGGCTTTTCTCAAATAACCAGTTATATACAAATGCAAACAATGATAAATGCCAGGAATGAAGAAGACAGGGGCTATCAAGTGTGCTGAATGATCAGTTAGCAGGTCAGGCTGCGAGTCATTAAAAGACAGCAGATTCGTGGTTAAAGCCAAGACTTGGGGCAGAATACTTGGGTTTGCATCCAGGTCTGCCCCGTAGGACTTCACCTCCTAGTTCCCTTGTCTGTACCAGTACAGGAGTAGTCCTTGCCTCTAGGTTGTGCTGACTGTATAGTAAATAGCTATGTCGCTAAGAACAGCAGGTGGCACATATTAAGCTCTCCAGAAGGCTGTCTGCTTTTCTTTCCTCTGTCCTCAGGTCCAGAGCAAACTGAAGTATAATGTTAACCGCTCTACCTCACAGTTTGGCCTGTAAGTACTAATAAGTTAATGTGTTACTTTTTCCCGTAAACACTAGCAGCTCACTAAAATCACTTGGAAAGGCTTTAAAAAAAAAAATTCCTGATGCACATGGCTCCTTCCTGAAACAAATGAATTAGAAATTCCCGGGTTGGAGCCTGGACATCCATATATTTAGAAACTCCTCCCGGGATTTGTATGTGCGCTAGAGTTGAGAGCCACTAATCCAGGTATTCAAAATGTAACAACAGCTACAACAAAGTAAAACTCCACAGTGCAATGAGCTTCCTTTTACCGCCCCAACAGTTAAAATCTGTACTCATAAAGCATACAACGATTTTAGGGTTCAGAAGTTAAGTTCCACAGAAGGGGTTCCTCACCATTCCTCTTTCATACCACATCCCCGCTTTACTCCAAGAGCAGAGCACTCGTGAGGGGACAAAGCGCTCTGGGGTACGCCTTTGCACTGGGGTTTTGTACGTTCATGGGCTTAACTGGAGAACCGCCGGGAACACACTCCACGGTCGAATTATCTCCAGAAAGAAGCCACTCAGTCTGACCCAAGGAAGCAGCCTTTCCGCATGCAAGAGGTCTTAACAGGGAGAAGTTAACCTCGCTGTTTGTCAGGAGGGTGGAGAGATGAAGGAACTGGGTTTTAAGTACCTAGAGATTACCTTTTTATTTATGAATCAGTAGTTCCAGCAACGAACTTACCAACTTTTTACTGAGGGACTACCGTGCCCAAGGGCTTGAATGGGTCCTGGTTACATTTGGGCGGAGACAGTTGCCAAAACTCGCTGTGTATCACCTGTGCCTTTCCTCTGTCCGCCTCAAATTTAAAGGACAGCACCGGGAATGGCAAGGTCCACCTCAGTTTTAAAGGACAGCACCGGGAAAGTAAGTCGGTAAAACAGTCGTTCGCTATGAGGTACTCGGGGCAAAGAAACCAAAGAGGGGAGTCCACGTCGGCTCCAAATGCCCTCTTTGACCTGCCTGCTTGGGGACAAGGGTTGGAAGGTTCCATGCACGTCCCCGGGCAGGGACCATGCGGAAAGGAGAAGACAGAGCCCAGGGACCATGGTCTGGGCTCGGGGTCCTTACCCAGCAGCAGGAAAGACAGGACCCACTGCAGCACCGCCGCGGTCTGCAGCCGCCGCTCCAGCGGGACGTTGAGCGGCGCAAACTCGACCTTCATGGCCCGGCCCGGGCGAGGACGGCGCCCACCGCCGCCGCCTGCACCCTCGCTGCTCCGCGGCGCCTGCGGGAAGTGCGCGGCCGGATCCGGGCGCCGCTCCGGGCACCGGCCGGGCGCACTGGAGGAGGCGTAGGCCGAGAGCGGGCGGGGACTGGACTTCGCCTTGGGTGGGAGGGCGGGCCGGGGCCGGGGCTGGGGGCTGCCAATCACGCGCGCCCGGCGCCAGCGCTGGCCCCGAGCGCCCCGGCCTGGGAGCAGCTGCGGCGCTCTGGGCGCATTGGCTGGCTCCGGGGAAAGCGCGGCGCACAGGACACAGGGGACTGCAAGCAGGGTCAGCTGGCGGCCGGCCAGAGCCTGGCAGCGCGAGGTCCTGGCGCCTTGTCAAGGACCTAGGATCTCCAGCAGGATCTGACCATTTACTGTTCAGCTGATCGATCACCGCACGCCTGCCTTCAGCATCCGCCCTTAAACCCACCCCTTCCTCCAAATCCTGTATGACCAGGCAGCTGTTGGTGCAAGGAGTCGTTCGCCAGCTGAAGAAAGGCGACGAATGTAGCTTCTTAGTTTTTTGGTCTGTGTCCTAAGCCATCCTAACCTCCAGGAGGGTGAGGCGGGTACCTGACTTCCTCACTCCTATGTCCACAGATCCCTACTCGAGTCATGGAAACCTTCCATTCATTCGTTCAGACCACGTTCACTGAGCGCCTGCCGACTGCTGAGCACCTGGGCACTGGGTTACTCTGGATAAGCAAATCTCAGAGAGTACAGTATGGGGGGAAACAGACATAAAATAATCACACAATTGGGTGTAATTACAAGTGAGACCTTACTATGAATGACTGGAAGGAGATTCTAGACTCAAGACTGGAAGGTCAAGGAAATGTCTTGAAGTCAAGAGTCTTAAGCTATAACAATGAATCTAGTTAACTGAGAGAATCATCCAGGCAAAGGCAAGCACAGGTGCAAAGATCCTGTGGCTGAAACTCAAAGACTAGTGTAGTGGGAGCTCATAGAACAAGGCTGAGATTGGGAGAAGATGAGGCAAAAATGGTGGGTATAGGCCAGACACTTGCAGGCTGTGTTTAGGGTTCAAGACACACACACACACACACACACACACACACACACATACACACACACACAAACCACAAGACACTACAGGGTTTCAGTTATTATGTGGATGTAATAATATGGATCCATAGATTCCAAATAGTGTCTGATCCTTGATAGCACCCACTACATTTTCTTTATAAATATTAATTACCATATGTGCAGAGTAATTAGAGTTGAAAAACTCCACCCAAATAGTTGAAAAACTCCACCCCATTGCCAGTGGGGATTTGGAATAAAGCAAACGGACAGCCTTGACTTTCTTCCCCCTGCCTTGCCCCTTTCTCCTTCAACATTCTAATACCGAGAACACTGGATACAAAGAAAGTCCAGGATGACTTGGGGGAATTGTTTGTGGCTTTTTGCATGCAAAACCTGTTCATAAGATGTGAAGTTGTGTAAGGAAGAGAAGTGGTCCAAAGATTCCTGCCTGGCACACAGAAGAGGGGCTATGAAAGGACCAGCAAAGAAGATTCATCTAGTGTAAGAAACAGAGAAGAACTACAGGGCCAAATAGTGTCCAGAAGAAACCTGTGGGCCCCAGTGATGGCGAGTAATGGGCACCTATTCAGAAAGGGTTGGAGGTAGCAAGAGCTGAAGTAGAGAGACCCCTAAGGAGGCCTTTGTAAGGTGAGTGTAGAGGGTGGTGGCTTGGTCTCCTCAGAAGCAAAGGAGAATAGAAATAGATTTGAGATACGTGTGGGAGATATAAATGGTAGGCCTGGTTGATTAATTGGATTCTTAATCTACTGGCATATATGAAGAGCAAAACACCCAGAACTCCTGATCTTCATCACTCCGTTTACTGTACTTGATATACTTTTGCTCTTCCTCGGAGCAGTCAGCTGAGAGAAAGGAGCTGTCACGTCCCATCACAGCCCACGGAAGCGAAGCATGGACCCAGCAGGACTCAGTCAACAACAGTCCCTCCCCTTTTTAATTAACGGTTTAATCATTTACTCATTCTTCTGACATCCAGCATGTATTTATCTGTGTAGCTGCTGTGTGCCAGGTTACTGGAGTGAAGTGATCGTTGGATTGACGTGGCAAGAAAGGTTTAATTCATCAAGATATTCAAAACAGTTCTCCTATATGAGTCTATGGTTTCCAGAGCCAAAGCAAGTAACTGCCATGCTGAACTACTTCTCAAATAACAAGAATGAAGAGAACGGTGGGGAAACACAGGGACCAGTCATTGAAGAGCACGCAGAGCAGTGCTGAAGACCACACTTGTCCGTGTTGGTTGTGGCTCGGGTTAGGGTTAGCAATCAATCCACAGATATTTCAGCAAATGATCAGAGAAAATTACACCGGGCAGAAAGATGGGCTTTGTTCCTATGCGCTCAGCATTGGCTATGCATGAGGAAATAATACTTACATCTGTTTACAATAACGTGATAAAATGTTTTACCACAGCTGCAAGTCCTAGGGAGGGCATGGTGACAGGAAGCCAGCACAGTCCTGAGCTGCCCCTGACACAGTATGGCTCTTCTCTCTTTTTCTCAACTCTGATGAAGAAATAAGAAGGTCACAGGTCAGATTGCCTCAAAGATTATGAAAACTGTCTTTGGAAATGAATAATGAAAAATCACTTCCTTGTTATATTTATTTATTTATTTATTTTTGCATTGTACCATAGCTAACTTCTTCTAGAAAGAAGGTGACAATGTTTTTCCATAACACTACATTTTACTGTAACTTAAGTTAAATGTTCTTATTGTTAAGTTAAAAAGGAAATAGTACTCTTTCTAGATTGGGAGTCCTTACAGGGAACAGTTCTGGACAAAGATCACAGTTCTGATTTTTATATGATGCATTAATCAGAAAAGACAATATTCTCTCTCTTTTACTCACACACACATCTATGTACACATACACATCCCGCTGAGAATGAAGAACCAGCTCAGGTTAAAGTCAAATAGAAGGCTACCACTCTGGGAGTTTCAGGGGAATGTCCTTCAAGAAGTTTTATTTTCAAAGCTTTTTTGTACAAAGTTTAAGATATTTGCTCTGGCCCCTCTGTTTTCATATGGTCTTCTCAATGAACTATTTTGTCTATCTGACAGGGCTCAGTATATTTGTTCTGAGCAGAGGTGCAGAGTCCTGCCTGAGATAGTGAAGCTTTGCAGCCACCGTGAATGGTCCACGATTTCCTTTCCTCCATACTTTCTGGGTGCTATAGGAACACGTAAGGTCTCAGCCCCTACGCGTGATTCCTGCCTTCCTTCCTTGCACATTCTCCTTTGTGAGCTTCGTTAATCTAAGTTCAATTATTATCATTCTATTAGTTAATTAATGTTAATATATGATGTTTGTGCTACAAAATATGTGCGTCCCTAACTGCTCTTTCAAATCATTACAACACTAGGAGCGATTCCTCTTAGAAGGTATGATGGTACTCACTCGTATTTATTAAACGTCTTTTCTCTTCCCGTGACCCTCACTCACACCTTCATTTGCATTTGCTCAGGCACCTATTTGGGGCTCTAGCAACCCAAGGAAGGAACAAGAAGAGGCTGGGAAAGCCTGCAGTTGATGTGGGTCCAAGGCAGACTATTGGAAGAGGCTGCCGTCAACTCCAACAGCAGTGTCATGGGGGGTGTGGCAAAGCAAACGTCATCACTTGGCTTTAGTTTCCAAGACAAGTCATGCTGTGGTCTGAATGTTTGTGTTCCCTCCAAATTCACATATTTAACTCCTAACCACCAAGATGATAGCATTAAAAAGTGGTACCTTTGAGAGCCAATTATGCCCTTAGGAAAGAGGCCCAAGAGAGCTCATTCACCCCTTCTGCAGTGTGAACGCCCAGTGAAGTCTGCAGTCCAGAAGTGGGCCCTCCCCAGAACCCAACCATGCCAGCACCCTGGTCCTGGGTTTCCCAGCTTCCAGAACAGTGAGAAATAAGTTTCTGTTATTTATAAGCCACCCAATCTATGCTGTTTTGGTACAGCAGCCAGAATGGACAATCTAATTTAGCTCCCCTTTTTAAATTTCAGAATATTACAGGGGTACAAACATTTGCATTACTTACGAGGTCTGACAATTAAGTTCAGGAACTCATCCTAGAAAAAGTGCTGCATGCCTCGCTGCTCACTGCCACTACATCCCCTCTGAAGTGCTCCCCTGGGGAAGCTGTGCACCAAAGCCAACAACTAATCCACCCTTCAAAGCAATTTTGGAACTCTTTCTGGAATGGCCATTAGAGCTATAATCATATAGTGCCCCAAAACATGCCACAAAAATAAGGAACACCACTCAGCAAGATACTGCCACACATTCTCCTTTGTGAAATTCATTAATCTAAGTTCAATTATTATCATTCTATTAGTTAATTAATGTTAATATATGATGTTTGTTACAAAATATGTGCATCCCTAACTGCTCTTTTAAATAATTATAAGCGGTTCCTCTTGAAGGTATGATGGTACCCACTTTTATTTATTAAACATCCTTTCTCTTCCCATGACCCTCACTCACGCCTTCATTTGCATTTGCTCAGGCACCTATTGGGGGCTCTAGAAACCCAAGGAAGGAACAAGAAGAGGCTGGGAAAGCCTGCAGTTGACACGAAGACAGGTGTGAGACACTGATATGCCAAGGTTATGAAACCTTATCAAGCTGCTTGTACAGTGCTGCCAAGGAAAGTGAGTGGTAGGAAGTTTGTGAACTGAGTTGTCAGACCTTGTACCACAACAGCTCTGATGATCATTCTAGAAAAACAGCTCCATAATTCGGTGCTAGTGTTGGTGCACAGCTTCCAAAGGGGGTACTTTGTGACTATAGTGATATTTAGCAATGAGGTATGTGGTACTCTTTCTAGGATGAGTTTTCACACTTAACTGCTAGACCTCATACATGGCTTTTGTGCCATTTGGGTCAAAGTTATAAGTGTGACCATCACCAAAATAGCGTGCCCTAGATTGTACCCTAGTAGGTGGTCTGGAACTTATACTTGTATCTTTCTGGTTGTTTGCGGCTACTTGGTACATAACCTCTTCATTCCACTCATCTATT